AGGAAAAAGAGGCGAAGGTTTGAGGAGAGTTAGAAGAGAGAGATAGAGCGAGGCTTCTGTATTGCACATAAAGGAATTTAATAAAATATTATTTAGCAATTATTAAATAAATACATATAAAAGTACCTCAATAATTATTTTATAATTAATTTAAAAAGATATATATTACAAAATAATTAAAATAAAACAATTAAAAAAACAGTAAGTTCGGGCGGGCCGAACTTTGAATATCCTCCACCACTTGAAAAGAATTTGGCAATTTTCAAAAAAAAAAATAAAATCCTTTAAAAATTCTGTTAAAATCTTAAAAATAACAAATGTACCCGTCATATTAGGGTCTAAACGACGACATGGACTTGCATAGGCAACTTTTGTCATAAGCCATTAAAATGTTCAAATGCGAAACGTGAAAAAAATCGGTGAATAATGTAGCAACATCATGAATATAGGGAGGGGTACTATTATATGGGGGCTATACAAAAATGTGGACCTGCACAGACAATTTTCTGTCACAGGCTGTAGTATTCATTTCGAACTTCAAATACCAAATTTGAAACAATTCCGGTGAATAATGTCGCTAAAATCATCAAAATACCGAATATAGGGAGGTTCCATTATACGGAGGCTTTACGAAGACTTGGACCTGCACAGACAATTTTCTGTCATAGGCTGTAGTCTCCATTTCGAACTTCAAATACCAAATTTGAAACGATTCCGTTGAATAATGTCGCTAAAATAATCAAAATATCGAATATCGGGTGGTATCGTTATATGGGGGCTATACGAAGACGTGGATCTGCGCAGACAATTTTCTGTCGTAGGCTGTAGTATTCATTTCGAACTTCAAATGCCAAATTTGAAACAATTCCAGTGAATAATGTCGCTAAAATCATCAAAATACCGAATATCGGGAGGTATCGTTATATGGGGGCTATACGAAGACGTAGACCTGCACAGACAATTTTCTGCCTTAGGCTGCAGTATCTATTATGAACTTCAAATACCAAATTTGAAACAATTCCGGTAAATAATATCGCTAAAATCATCAAAATACAGAATGACGGGAAGGACTTGTTTATGGGGGCTATACCAAAACGTGGACCTACATGGCCCATTTTCAATACCAAAAGTCCTGCAGGCATAATACGCATTTGAGTAAAATTTTATAAATCTACTTCATTTCGTTCGTAAGCTAGAGTGATTTCCACAGATATTTCGAGGTGTTACAAACGGAATGACAAATTTAATACGATGGTGGAGAGTATAATTAAAATAATAATAATAATAATAATAATAATAATAATAATAATAATAATAATAATAATAATAATAATAATAATAATAATAATAATAACAATAATAATAATAATAATAATAATAATAATAATAATAATAATAATAATAATAATAATAATAATAATAATAATAATAATAGTAATAGTAATAATAATAGTAATAAAAATAATAATAATAATAATAATAATAATAATAATAATAGTAATAATAATAATAATAATATTAAAAATAATATTAATAATAATAATAATAATAATAATATAATAATAATAATAATAATAATAATAATAATAATAATAATAATAATAATAATAATAATAACAATAATAACAACAATAATAATAATAATAATAATAATAATAATAATAATAATAATAATAATAATAATAATAATAATAACAATAATAACAACAATAATAATAATAATAATAATAATAATAATAATAATAATAATTGTTCATAAAACTATGAACATGAAAGACTGCTGCAATAAATTAGATCGTTAAGTGATTTAGGCTATAAAATGTTTATGTAATTTTAACCCAACATTCTAGAGTACTTGTAAATGTGTGTGCATGAAAGATAAGAGCATAAGGGATGATAACACTTCATGCTGCTGGAGACGCATTGATAATAAAGAATATTCTCCCATAAACATGCGCTCAGCTGGGGAGTAAATATAGATCACAGCAATTGTGTGTTGCACTAGGCCTATGCATAGAATTAGAAATGTCAAGTGTTTGTAGCCTTAAGTAGATGCATAAGATTAAACCCCCCTAAGATTTCTGTTGTGTACTAGCACTTAAGTAATACATTTTGTTCAATAAAATTAGAATTAAACTGACAAACGAACAAACAAGTTCTAGAATTTGATTCTCCCGCTAACATTGGTCCTTCGACAAAAAAAAAACCAGCGGCCACAAAAATATATTTCAAAAAAAAAAAAAGAGAATTATATTTTTGTAAAAAAAAAACAAAACAAAAAAAAAAAAAAAAAAAAAAAGCCATAGGGGCAAAACAAAAAAAGCCATAGGGGCAAATAAAAAACAAAAAAAAAAAAAAGCCATAGGGGCAAAACAAAAAAAAGCCATAGGGGCAAATAAAAAACAAAAAAAAAAAAGCCATAGGGGCAAAGAAAAAACAAAAAAAGCCATAGGGGCAAAGAAAAAATCAAAAAAAGCCATAGGGGCAACAAAAGCAAAAAATAAAACAGAATAATTTTGAAAAAAGCCACAGGGGCATTAAAAGAAAAGAAGCTAAAACTACAAATTTTACTTGCTTCACAAAACAAGGAAAAATGGCGTCGAGACATAACTTGTATAAGCTCCAAAGCCTACTCCTTAAAGAAGTAATTGGGATTAAGGAAAAACTGCAAGCAGGCATGGTTCGGAAAGCAGCCATGGGTGACACACTACGATCCCTGGAAAGCAAAATGAAGGAAGCCACTACGAACCACGAAATGCTGAGAGTGCATGGCGAAAACACTGATCCCTATTTCAAAGAAAATGTTTGGGATCTCATCAACTTGAACTATGGAAAAGCAAAGGAACTCCTAGCGAGTTTGGAAGAAGAGGTCGAGCGAGAACCGCAAAGGGTAATAAAAGAAGCAGAGCCCGAAGTGCATGGGCTAATGCTCGATCAACAGTTAAAGGCCTTCCAAGAGGAAATGCAACAACAGATGCAACAACAAATGCAACAATTTATGTTGATGTTCGAGAAGAATAAAAGAGAAAATGAGGAAGAAAGACAAACCCATATAGAATCATCACCAATGGGCAATCAGGCGAATATAAAAGTAAGCGCAATCATCTACCAATTCAGGAAAAAAGTAAACAAACTCGCCGATGCCGTTGAATGCGATTTAGCTGGACTATCAAAATATGCTTTGGAGTACATGAAGTCATCGTGGGAGAAGCATATGGATGAAATTAGGAAATTGCATCTCGAGCTCTCAACGGTGCATGGAATGGAAGAGGTAGATCTCGAATTTGAAGAAATTGAAGAAAAGTTTGAGAGCAAAATGCAGGATATGATAAGAAGGATAGATGGTCTTAAAGAGGAGTCACTGGAAGTAGAACTAAAAAGAGTTCAAATACCATCCTTTAGTGGTCATGTGGAAGAGTGGAGTTCATTTCACGATTTATTTAAAAAGATGATTGATGAAAACTCCAAATTATCAAAAGTTCAAAAACTGTACTACCTCAAGACAAATCTAAAAGGAGAGGCATTTCGCTTGGTGCAACATCTTCAAGTGACCGAGGCAAATTATGAAGCAGCATGGGAATTACTGGAAAAAAGATATGGCAACAGGAGAATTTTATTCACTAAATTGGTAGATAGAATACTGGACCATCAAAACATCAACAGCCTGTCAGCAATAAGCATAAGAAATTTGCTGGACAATGTAAATGAAAGTATTCAGGCGTTGAAAGCAATGGATATTCCCCTAGAGCAAGCGGATCCCATTTTAGCCCGAATAATTATACGGAAACTGGATAAGGATGGGCTTATTCTTTATGAGCAGAATGTAAAGAAATCCAAGGACATCCAAAAACTTGAGGATGTGATGGACTTCCTGGAGCAGCAGTTTCAAGCCTTGGAAGCTTCAGTAGGCAGAAAACACAATAACATAGGACTGTACAAACTCCAAGAAAAATCAGCAGTGGTAGCGGAATTAAAACAATGTAAGTTCTGTAAAATGAGCGGACATGATATCGCATGGTGCAGAAAATTTTCGGCGTTATCTTCGAATGAAAGATACAATTGGGCAAGATCAGCACAGGTCTGCCTCAGATGCTTAAGCCACAACAAGGATAAAAAATGTTACAATGAAATTAAATGCCAGAAGTGTGGAATGAATCACATCACAGTGATGCATTTAGAGCGAAGAGGACATACGAAAGCAATGACCACCAATACAACAACAAATGTTCTGCTAGCAACAGCCCAAGTTCGTATAAAATCACTGCATGGAGAATTTGTAACAGTCAAAGCGCTGATAGACCAAGGATCACAAATTACATCCATATCAGAGGACGCGGCTCAACTGTTGCAGCTACCAAGGAAGAAGACAGAAGTGAGGTTACAAGGTCTAGGAGAGACCCTAGTTGGCGTGGCGAAATCTAAAGTTGCACTGGAACTACGACCCAGATTTTTGAGCAACATAATGATTAAGGCAGAAGCACTAGTCCTTCCAGCACTTGCATCAGCACATCCCGACAGAAGGTTTCAATATGACGTGGATAAATGGAGAAATGTAAATTTGGCAGATCCAAATTTCAACAGCCCGGAAAGAATCGATTTAGTCATTGGAGCCGATCTTTACTCACAAATATTGGAAGAAGGAGTTCGCCACGATGAGCAAATTGTGGGACAAAATACGAAGTTGGGTTGGATTTTATCTGGAACAGTAGTAGTAAATCCTGGATTGAACATAAAGAAATCGGCAGCAACAACAACAATTGAGAGGTTCTGGGAAATAGAGGAAATAGAAGATGAAAAAAACGACCGAAGAAGACGAATACTGCCTTAAGTTATATGAAGACACAACACGCCGAGACAATTCAGGAAGATTTGTCGTGCGTTTGCCGTTAATTGAAGAAAAAGATTTGGGAGATTCATATAAAAGAGCCATGGCGAGGTTTATAAACTTGGAAAAAAGATTAGAAAATAATGCGGAATTAAAGTCAGAGTACGAGAAAACAATGAACGAGCTCATATCCATGGGCCAAATGGTAAAGGTGGATCCAAGTAAGAAGGCTTTGTATTATATGCCGCACCAAGCAGTGGTACGTGAAACAAGTCTAACCACAAAAGTTAGAGTGGTATTTGATGCTTCATCGACAACTTCAAATGGGAAGTCGCTGAATGACATACTTCACGTGGGACCAAGGCTTCAAAAAGATATATTTGACATTGTAACAAAGTGGAGATCGTGGAAGTTTGTCATCTCAGCTGATGTGGAGAAAATGTTTCGTCAGATTAAAGTTGAAAAAGAAGACCAGGAATACCAACATGTGTTGTGGAGGAGTAATCCGTCGGAGCCTATCCAACAATATAAACTTACTACGGTAACATATGGCACTGCATCAGCACCATTTCTGGCTGTAAGATCGCTCATAGAAATTGGAAATAGGTGCCAGAATCAAGAAATCGCTCAGAGGATCAAAGAAGATTTCTACATGGACGACCTTTTAACAGGAGCGAATACAAAACAAGAATGCAGGGAGGTGCAGAAGAAGATAACGCTGCAACTGGAGGATTATGGGTTTCATTTAAGAAAATGGATATCAAACTCTCCTGAAGTATTGAGTGCGGTGAAATTGAATGAAGAAAATGAAGTGCTGAGAATAGAAGAAGATGAATGCTTGAAAACATTGGGATTACAATGGAATCCACAGATCGATTGCTTTACATTTAGTATGCAAATTAAAAAAGAAGACAAGTTGACAAAACGAATAGCATTGTCAAGACTGGCACAAATATTCGATCCATTAGGTTGGCTGACGCCAGTCACGGTAACAGCAAAACTATTTATACAGCAGTTATGGATACAACAAATAGAATGGGATGTGCCATTGGAGGAGAAATTGAGTGGAGATTGGCGGCAGTTTACATACAGTCTGCCTGCTTTAGAAAATTTAAGGATTCCAAGATGGTTTGGAATATTGGAAGACAAAACTGCACAGTTACATGGGTTTGCAGATGCTTCCGAGAAGGCTTATGCAGCAGTCGTATACCTTAAGGTAAATTCGCAGGTGACCATAGTGGCTGCAAAAAGTAAGGTAAATCCAGTAAAAAATAGGAAGACGCTTCCAAAGCTGGAACTTTGTGCAACACATCTATTGGCTAAACTACTACAGAAGATCAAAGGAGTATTGAAGTCAGCAACACCAACTTTTGCTTGGAGTGATTCCATGATTTCCTTGGCATGGATTCACAACTCCAAAAACAAGGATAAGTTCATAAAAACAAGGGTGATGGATATTTTGGAGAGAATACCCGAAGCGAAATGGGGCTACGTCAAGTCAAAGGAGAATCCAGCAGATATGGGTTCAAGGGGTGTCCCACCGGAGACTTTGACAAACAATACATTGTGGTGGGAAGGCCCCGAATGGCTGAAAAAAGATGAACAAGATTGGCCAAAAAGCAACATAAATCAAACAGTAGCAACAACAGTAAAGTTTTCGACTGAAAACCACTTATATGAAAGTATGATGAAGTATTCGTCATTTAAGAAACAGATACGTGTAATGGCTTATCTACTGCGTTTTATAAAAGGGCTAAAAAAGAAGCGAGCAGTAAATGAGCATTTGACGGCAAAAGAGTTGGAAGAAGCAGAGATGGAGATAATAAAACTACATCAAGAAAGAGAATGGCCAGTGGAACTAAGGAAATTGAAGACATTGGGAACGGTGGATCATCAAAGTAAAATAGCTTCACTACATCCACAGTTGGATCGAAATGGCATAATGCGGGTTGGTGGAAGACTTGCTTTGTCAGAGCTGAACTATAACCAAAAGCATCCAATAATTATTCAAAAGTCAAGATTAGCGGGAAATATCATTCGAAATTGTCATATTCAAACGATGCATGGAGGAAATCGACTTATGGAAAATATACTAAGACGAAAATATTGGATTATTGGAGCTAAAAATAGGATAAAACTTTGCATTAGGTGTTGTCCAAGATGTACGCGCTTTAGAGGTGAAGTGCGAAATCAATTGATGGGAAATTTACCAGCTTACCGTGTCAGTATAAATCAACCCTTTCAACACTGTGGCATTGATTATGCGGGTCCGCTACAAATACGGTGCTCCAAAACAAGAGGAGTGAAGGCTATGAAGGGTTACGTAGCGGTGTTCGTATGCATGGTAACTAAGGCGGTTCATTTGGAAGCTGTCAGCGGACTTACAACGGAAGCATTTCTGGCGGCGCTAAGGCGATTTTTCGCGAGAAGAGGAAAATCAACCGACTTATATTCAGACAACGGAACGAACTTCGTAGGGGCAGCAAGGCAGCTTGACAGAGACTTTTTGGATGCCGTTAAAAACAACACGAAGTTAGCTCCCATTTTGGAAAATGAAAAAATAAGTTGGCATTTCATTCCGCCGGCAGCTCCTCACGTTGGAGGAATTTGGGAAGCAGCAGTGAAGTCCATGAAATATCACCTAAAAAGAATAATTGGTGATACGAAATTGACTTACGAGGAGTTGAGTACGGTGCTATCTCAGATTGAAGCAGTATTAAATTCGAGGCCGCTACATGAACTTGGAAGCGGTACAGAATATATTGACACTTTAACACCTGGACATTTCTTAATTGGCCGTCCGATGTTAGAATCACCGGCGACTATCGATGAAGGTAACTTAGGATGTCTTAATAGATGGAAACTGCTACAACGAATTAAAAGTCATTTTTGGAGCAGATGGAAAGAGGAGTATCTAACCACATTACAAAACCGAATGAAATGGAAGAAACAAAATAATAATGTGGAAATAGGCAATGTGGTGATATTGAAAAACGAAGAAACGCACGCGGCGCGATGGCCACTGGCCAAGGTGGTAGAAGTCCATCCAGGGAAGGACGGAGTTGTAAGGATTGTGACAGTTAAAACACAAGACGGCGTGATAAAGAGGCCAATTAACAAATTATGTCCATTGGAGCATATGGACGAGGAATCTGAAGAATTGCCCAGACAGGAAAAACAGGCGGAAATTACACATACTAATATGACAAGATGTGAGCGAAAATAAGGAAACAACCAATAACGTGGGCAATGATGCTGAACTTATTTTTACTAATATCTACCAAGGCATCATCTGTACATGAACTGAATAGTTCGGCTGCGGTATATTTGGATCCCATGTCTCAAATTCACATGGTTTCCTCATCATGGAATATGGTTGTGTACTTTGAGCTGAAACCATATTTAGAAACATTAGACCTGGCTTCCGAATTGCTGAAAACATCAAAAAGCTTATGCCCACGACTTCAAACTTTTGAGGAGCAGTGTTGGTCCACGATTAACAATATGGAACTCAAGATTAATAAGATAAAGACCAACAATCGATTATTCCTCAGAGAAGACAATCGTCAAAAAAGAGGAGCTCCGTTGAAATTTGTAGGTTCGTTTCAACACTGGGCATTTGGGGTAATGGACGATGACGATCGAGTAGCTATGGAGAGCAATATGAAAAATCTATTAGCCAACCAAAAGGATTTGAAGAAGTTAGCAAAACAACAGACATCTGTAGTCGACGCTACAGTAAATCTTTTAAGGAAAACCACAGAGGAAGTGAATTCGCACTTTTCGGATATCAAAGGCAAAATTGAGAACATAAGTGCTACAATGAATGAGAATTACTTCGTGTATAGAGAATCCATACGATTCTTTATAATAGCAAAACAAATTCATGAGCTTTTGGAAGAATGTGACGAAGTCCAAAAAGAAGTTGTTGATGCATTAATTGATGTAAACAGCGGTAAGTTTCATCCCGTCCTGATAACACCCAAACAATTACAAGCAGAGATAGTAAAAATACGAGATGCTCTGCCTGAAAAATATGTACTGCCAGGAAAGCGTACGGGAATGGAATTAAAAGAGATCTTACATTTGATGACGTGCCACGGATCGTTTGTGGGGTCCCAACTGGTAATTAATATAAAAATACCGCTGTTCAATCGGCAGTCATCCCAGTTTTACAAAGTAATTCCGATACCATTTGAAGAAGGAAATACGATATTGATAGCCCGGGTGAATTCCCCGTACATTGTATATAATTTTGAGCTGGATTCTTTTCATTTCTTAACACAGCCTATGCTGAATGAGTGCAAAGAGACGTTGGGTAAGGAGATAATGTGCGAAGAGAATTTTCCATGGAGAGATGCAACTACAAATAATTGTGAATTATCTCCTCTGAGACCGCACATAAAACTAAACTGCGCCTATTACGAAGTGGAACGAATGCCTTATTGGATGCCATTGAAACGAAATGGCAATTGGCTTTTTAAAACCTTTTCAAGTGCAACAGCTCATTTGCAATGCTCTCACAAACAACAGACGATTATGGAACTTCCAAAGCAAGGAATTCTCACGCTGGATGCAGACTGTACAGCGAGGATCGGTAAAGTAACGTTGGTAGCTGTGCATAGAGTTCATAACGAGATAAGCACAGAATTCCATTCGTTTCTTTTGAAGGATGTAAGTCCGGACGAAAAAGAATCAATCAAACCCCTTGGAAATATACTTATCAATCATCATCAAGAAATTGACGAGCTAAAGAAATTCGTGGACAAGTTAAAGAAAGAAAATGTGGAATTGCGAGGCTTGAAGTTCCATCACATCTCATCACACGTAGCTTTTATTTTAGTAATTATAGTAATAATAATTCTAATTATTTTATTTATAAGAAGACAGAAAAAATTAAAACGCATAACCGAAATTCAATTTCCCCGAGGCCAGGATGTCTAAATAAATTATTTGCCGCCCGGGAAAATGTTCATAAAACTATGAACATGAAAGACTGCTGCAATAAATTAGATCGTTAAGTGATTTAGGCTATAAAATGTTTATGTAATTTTAACCCAACATTCTAGAGTACTTGTAAATGTGTGTGCATGAAAGATAAGAGCATAAGGGATGATAACACTTCATGCTGCTGGAGACGCATTGATAATAAAGAATATTCTCCCATAAACATGCGCTCAGCTGGGGAGTAAATATAGATCACAGCAATTGTGTGTTGCACTAGGCCTATGCATAGAATTAGAAATGTCAAGTGTTTGTAGCCTTAAGTAGATGCATAAGATTAAACCCCCCTAAGATTTCTGTTGTGTACTAGCACTTAAGTAATACATTTTGTTCAATAAAATTAGAATTAAACTGACAAACGAACAAACAAGTTCTAGAATTTGATTCTCCCGCTAACAATAATAATAATAATAATAATAATAATAATAATAATAATAATAATAATAATAATAACAAGTAGAAAAACATTAAGTTCGGCCGGGCCAAACTTTTAATACCCTCCACCTTAGGGTAAAGGAAACATTAGAAGAAATGTGGCAAAAACCATTAAAATGCCGAATATCGGGAGGTACCGTTATATGGGGGCTCTACCAAATCGTGGACCTACACATGCAAGGTTCCGCCAACGGAGCTAGAACCCATTATGACCTACAAATACCAATTTTTAGACAAATACGTAAAAAAAATGTGGCAAAAATCATCAAATTACCGAATATCGGGAGGTACCGTTATATGGGGGCTATACCAAAACGTGGACCTATAATTACAATGACACGCCACACGAACTGGGACCCATTATGATCTACAACTACCAAATTTTCAGTGAAATTCGTGAAAAAATTAGTCAAAAACCATCAAAATACCGAATATTGGGAGGTACCGTTATATGGGGACTATACCAAAACGTGGACCTATACATACAATGTTTCGCCACACGTACAGAGACCCGTTATGACCTACAAATACCAATTTTCAGACAAATCCGTTAAATAATGTGGCATAAATCATCAAAATACCGAATATCGGGAGGTACCGTTATATGGGGACTATACCAGAATGTGGACCGATATATCTCATTTTCAATACCAACCATCCTAGACACAATACCAATTGCTCTGCTAAATTTTGGCGCTCTACGTCATAATGTGGGCTGTATCGTGATTTCAACAGACAGACAGACAGACGGACAGACAGACAGACAGACGGACATCGTTAAATCGACTTAGAATTTTATGCTGATTATGAATATATATACTTTATGGGGTCTACGACGAATATTTAAGGATGTTACAAACGGAATGACAAAGTTAATATACCCTCCTTTCCAAGGTGGAGGGTATAATAACAATAATAACAATAATAACAATAATATAATAATAAATAATAATAATAATAATAATAATAATAATAATAATAATAATAATAGTAATAATAATAATAATAATAATAATAATAATAATAATAATAATAATAAAATAATAATAATAATAATAATAATAATAATAATACTAATATATAATAATATAATAATACTAATAATGATAATAATACTAATAATAATAATAATAATAATAATAATAATAATAATAATAATAATAATAATAATAATAATAATATAATAATAAATAATAATAATAATAGTAATAATATAATAATAATAATAATAATAATAAAATAATAATAATAATAATAATAATAATAATAATAATAATAATAATATAATAATAATAATAATAATAATAATAATAATAATAAAACAATAATAATAATAATAATAATAATAATAATAATAATAATAATATAATAATAATAATAATAATAATATAATAATAAAATAATAATATAATATAATAATAATAATAAATAATAATAATAATAATAATAAATAATAAGAAATAATAATAATATAATAATAATAAAATAATAATAAAAATAATAATAATAATAATAAATAATAATAAAATAATAAAATAATAAATAATAATATAATAATAATAAAATAATAATAATATATAATAATAATAATAATAATAATAAATAATAATAAATAATAATAATAAAATAATAATAATATAATAATTAATAATATAATAATAAAAATAATAATAATAATAATAATAATAATAATAATAATAATATAATAATAATAATAATAATAATAATAATAATAATAATAATATATAATAATAATATAATAATATAATAATAATAGTACAAATAATAATAATTAATAATAATAATTAATAATAATAATAATAATTATAATAATAATACTAATATATAATTACTACTAATAATAATACTAATAATATATACTAATAATAATTAATTCATAATACTAACTAATAATAATAATACTAATAATAAATAATAATAATAATAATAATAATAATAATATAATCCTAATCATGATATAATACTAATAATAATTATAATAATAATATACTAATAATGATAATAATACTAATAATAATAATAATAATAATGAAATAATACTAATAATAATAATAATAGTAAATAATAATAATAATAATACTAATAATAATATAATAATAATAACTAATAATAATAATAATTTGAATAATTAATAATAATAATTAACACTAATAATACATAATAATAATAATAATAATAATCAATATAATAATAATAATACTAAACAACTAAAATAATCATATCAATCCTAATATATTAATAACAATAATACTAATAATAAATAATAATAATAATAATCACTTACTAATACTAATAATTAACAATAAGTAATTAATAAAATAATAATAATTACAATAATAATAATAATTACATCCTAAAAGTATGCACCAGAAAATCAGATAATTTCCCCATTACCCGATATGCCACATTAAACAAAAAATGTTTTTTTTTTCGATTTCGAAAACAAAAAGCAGGACAATCTTTAAACATAAATATTTAAAGAGACCTATAATGGATGGATGAATGCATGACCTGTTTAACAAACAGCAAGAAATAGAAATGGAAGAAGAAGAAGACGCACGAGGAGAAGCAAACTCATGCAACTCTGGAGTGCAAAATGATTCACTTGATTTTGGATAGGCTGCAGCAGCAACCAGGCAGCTTCAAAGGAAATATAACAAGTACACATGTACGTACCTATATATGTGTGTAGATATGTGTGTAGATATGTATGTATTTAAGTAAACCATGTACTATATGTACATAAGTATGTATGTAAGTTTTGCT